ATCTATAGAGTATTTTTTAAATGAAATAAGCTACATCTTGCTGACATAAGCCGCTTTGAGATCCATAATGCTTCGACCAGTGTTCGACTGTGTATCTGAATCAAATAAACTACACTGTTCATTGTGATCAACTCTAGCTCTTCGATTTAGCTCTCTAGAGCTGTCATACACCTATAGTAAACTTGCACGAGGGTAGGATGTTGTATCTGTTCTGTTAGAAAAAGTGAAATCATCAGTTTTAAGAAATGCACATTTGAAAGAAAAAAACACAACATCTTTGATTGCACGTTACATGGATATTTGTTGTTTCTTTCTTTTTATAAAAACGAGCATAAATAATGTTGACGAAGATTAGAAAGGAAATCATGTGATGAATTAGTGAATATTGAGTTCGCATAGAGTTTACAATGTAAGTAGTGTAAGGGACTTTATCAATAAGTATCGTCATTCTCTGTACCTATTTAGACTGAAGAATTGTTATGCATACTGTTTAATCTTTATTGATTTTGATTTTCTATATAATTTATATATGTTTGACATTGATATCATTACAAATCAATAAATGACTTACGAACCATGACAGTATGTGTTTAATTATGCTCGATCTTTTCATTTTAATCTTTTTTCTTTGTTCTATTTTAGACATGTTTTATGTCATGTTACTTTTCCTTTAAATCAATCGAATGAATCAGTAACCAAAATGAGACGATAACAATGTTCAGAAAGACGTATACTATTCGAAAATAGTCATCGAACTGTTTGATTCATACAAATCAAGTTGACAATTATATATTCAATTTGACAGAGAATATGAATTAAAATGTTTTTTGAATTAAATATATATATCTGAGAATCACGAAAATTTGAATTCCATGTCGATTTTGATTGAATATAATACCTTTTTGTCTTTTTGATTCATATTAGTTTATTTATTTTTCGCTGTCACATATGTTGTATTCGAAATAAATGTAAAATGCTTTTCAAAATTTGATTGTTGTCAATAGCCAATAGTTTATTGAAGAAAAGTCGAGCAAAATAAAGAGCAACTTCTGTATATTTAATAATCTTTTTTTTATTTATTATGATATTGTATGATATGGAGCATATATTTATCTAATGAGAAGAACGATGATTATCCATTACTTGATAAACAGAAGAGTAGTTAATATCTAGAGATGAACGAAATCAATCGAAAAAAA